CCCTGTACCCCAAAAACCCCCCCGGTGCCCACCCCACACCCCCCTCATCCCCCCGCGGTGCCCGCCGTACCCGTGTAGGCCTCGGGGCACTGGCACTGGAACATGCCGAGGTCCTGGGCGTGGCAGGTGCCCCCGTGGTGGCAGGGGCTGGGCTGGCACGGCTCGGTGCCGCACTCGCCCACGCCGCTGGCGTACAGCACGTCGCCGGCGCCCTGGCGCAGCTCGTGCCCGCGGTTGTTGATGGCCAGCGCCCGCACGCAGCCCCGCAGGCCGCCGCTGGCACCCGTGCGCTCGGCCGCCCTGCGGGCACGGTGCCAGGCGGGCTTGTCACCCGGGGGCACGGGGGGCACGGCGGGGATGGGAGAGGGCGCGGGGTTGGCACTGCCAGGGGGCAGCGGCACTGCCACACTCACAGGGACGGTGGCACACTCACAGGGACAGTGCCACACTCACAGGGACGGTGCCACACTCACAGGGACAGTGCCACACTCACAGGGATGATGGCACACTCATGGGGCACTGCCACAGGCACAGTCATGGGGCACTGCCACACTCACAGGGCCAGTGCCACCCTCATGGGGCAGTGCCACCCTCACAAGCCCACTGCCACCCCCACAAGGGGAGTGCCACCCTCCCATGGGCACTGCCACATTCAAGGGGCAGTGCCACCCTTACAGTGTCACCCTTACGGAGCCAGTGCCCCCTCATGGGGCAGTGCCACCCTCCCAGGGGCAGTGCCAACCCCCTGGTCCCCATGCTCCACTCACAGTGCCACCCTCCAAGCCCAGTGCCACCCTCCCAGTGCCACCCCGCTGCCCGTGGTGCCCACTCACAGTGCGGCGTGCTCGTCGGGCACGCCCCCGATGAAGAGCTCGGTGTCCAGGTTGAGCCCGTCGGTGCCCGGGGGGCTGTGCCCGCTCACGGGGGGCTCCCCGTCCACGGCCAGCGTGCCCGTGCGCCGGTTCCGCGTCACCAGCAGCCGGTGCCAGCGCCCCGGCGCCACCCGCACGCGGCTGGTGACGGTGCCCGTGCCAGAGCCCGTGTCAAACCTGCCGGGGGGGAGGGTCGGTGCCCCGGGTGCCAGCGGGGAGTGCCAGCGTGACTGGCACTGCGAGCACGGGGGGAGCCTTCCCTCCCTCCCTCCCTGTTCCTCCCTCCCTCTTTTTTCCCTTCCCTCCCTCTCTCCATCCCTCCTTCTCTTCCTGGCTCCTTCCACTCCCCCCTCCCTCCTTCCCTCTCCCCTCCCATCATCTTTCCCTCCTTCTCTCCTCTTCTCTCCCTCCCTCCTTCTCTTATCTCCTTCCACTCCCTCCCTCCCTTCTTCCTTCTCTCCCTCTCTTTCCTTCTCTCCCTCCCTACTTCCCTTCCCTCCCTCCCTTTTTCCATCCCTCCTTCTCAGCTCCTTCCACTCCCTCCCTCCTTCTCTCTTTCTTCCCCTTCCTCCTCTCCCTCTCTCCTTCCCTCTCCCCTCCCTTCGTCTTTCCCTCCTTCTCTCCCCCTCTCTCTCTCCCTCCTCCTGTCTCCTTCCCCTCCCTCCCTCCCTCCCTCCCTCTCCCCTCATCCCAAAGCCCTCCCTTGCATTCTGGAATACAAACGAAGCCGCTCTGCCTCTTTCCTCCCTTCCCCGTTTTCCCCCTCTCTGCATTTCCATCCCAGTCCAAAAAAAAAAAAATCCCTAAAAAAGATCTCTCAAAAACCCTCAACCTGCCAAAAAAACCCAACCTGCCAAAAAAACCCTAACCTGCCAAAAAACCTCAACCTGCCAAAAAAACCCAACCTGCCAAAAAACCCTCAACCCCACACTTGGGAGCTTTTCAAAACCCAAAGTGAGTTCACTTCGCTGAAAATTGGGAACAAGCTCCCTCAGTATTCCAACCACACCCTTCCAAAACCCAAAAAAATCCCAATTTTTGTCCACTTGGAGGCCTTTTAGGACAGAACCCCCGTTTTAGGATGGAACCCCTTGTTTTAGGACTGAACCCACCCTTTTAGGACTGAACCCCCGTTTTAGGACAGAACCCCCTGTTTTAGGACTGAACCCCCCTTTTAGGACAGAACCCCCCTTTTAGGACTGAACCCCCTGTTTTAGGACTGAACCCCCTGTTTTAGGACAGAACCCCCATTTAGGACTGAACCCCCGTTTTAGGACTGAACCCCCTGTTTTAGGGTAGAACCCCCTGTTTTAGGACGGAACCCCCCTTATAGGACTGAACCCCCCATTTTAGGACTGAACCCCCTGTTTTAGGACAGAACCCCCATTTAGGACTGAACCCCCCTTTAGGACAGAACGCCCTGTTTTAGGACAGAACCCCCGTTTTAGGACAGAACCCCCTTTAGGACAGAACTCCCTGTTTTAGGACAGAACCCCCTGTTTTAGGACAGAACCCCCCTGTTTTAGGACAGAAGCCCCCTTTAGGACAGAAGCCCGGCCCACCTGAGCTGCGCGAAGCCGGCCCGCAGCGCCAGCGAGATGAAGTCCTTGCCGTGGCGCTGCGCGTTGTAGAGCAGCAGCCCGCTGGGCTCCAGCGCGCGGAACTCCAGCGCGATGCGCAGCGTGTGGTACGCGCGCAGCGTGCGCAGCGCCAGCACCGAGCGGCCCCCGAACGCCGCCTCCCACGGGCTGGAGGCTGGGGCTGGGAAAGGGGGAAATGGGGGAAATGGGGGGAGAGAGGGGGAAGAAAAGGAGAGGGAAAGGGGAGGAAAAGGGGGGAAATAGGGGGGAAAAATGGGGGAGAACAGGGAGGAAAAATGGGAAGAATGGAGGGAGAACAGAGGAAGAACGGGGGAAGAGAGGGGGAAGAATGGAGGAAGAGGGGGGAAGGAAAGGGGAGGAAATGGGGGGAAAATAGGGGGGAAAATGGGGGGAAATGGGGGAGAACAGGGAGGAAAATGGGAAGAATGGAGGGAGAATGGAGGAAGAGGGGGGAAGAAAAGGGGGGAAAATAGGGGGGAAAAATGGGGGGGAAGAAGGGGGGAGAATGGAGGAAGAAAAGAGGAGGAAAAGGGGAGGAAAAGGGGGAAAATAGGGGGGAAAAATGGGGGGGAAGAAGGGGGGAGAATGGAGGAAGAAAAGAGGAGGAAAAGGGGAGGAAAAGGGGGAAAATAGGGGGGAAAAATGGGGGGGAAGAAGGGGGGAGAATGGAGGAAGAAAAGAGGAGGAAAAGGGGAGGAAAAGGGGGAAAATAGGGGGGAAAAATGGGGGGGAAGAAGGGGGGAGAATGGAGGAAGAAAAGAGGAGGAAAAGGGGAGGAAAAGGGGGAAAATAGGGGGGAAAAATGGGGGGGAAGAAGGGGGGAGAATGGAGGAAGAAAAGAGGAGGAAAAGGGGAGGAAAAGGGGGAAAATAGGGGGGAAAAATGGGGGGGAAGAAGGGGGGAGAATGGAGGAAGAAAAGAGGAGGAAAAGGGGAGGAAAAGGGGGAAAATAGGGGGGAAAAATGGGGGGGAAGAAGGGGGGAGAATGGAGGAAGAAAAGAGGAGGAAAAGGGGAGGAAAAGTGGGGGTGAAGAATGGGGGGATAAAGAAAGGAAAAGGAAAAGGAAAAGGAAAAGGAAAAGGAAAAGGAAAAGGAAAAGGAAAAGGAAAAGGAAAAGGAAAAGGAAAAGGAAAAGGAAAAGGAAAAGGAAAAGGAAAAAAGGAAAAGGAAAAGGAAAAAAATGGTGAAAAAAGGCAACTTCTATTCAGTTTGGGTTCACAAAAAGGGCAACTTTGCTGTGCCTCCCTTGGGGTGATCTGGGACTCCAAATCCCACCAAACCAACCCGGACCCCCACCGACATTTCCCACGGGATTTGGGAGCTCAAATCCCCTCGAAGCAGCAGGGCTGGACACGCGCACCCTGGAGAGCTCCAGGGACAAAGCTTTTTGGGAATGAGCCCCCCCAGGGTGACCCCAAAGTGCCAGGGGCAGCTGCCAGTGCTGCCAGGCCGGGAGACGAGCAGCAGCACCCCTGTCCTGGGGGGCACTGGGGGGCACTGGGGGGCACTGGGGGGCACTGGGGGCACTGCCACCAGCTGGGACAACGAAGCAGCAGCTCCCAACCCCTCTGGGATCAGGGTGGAGCCAGGGAGGAGCTGCTCCTGCTCAATTTACAACCTCTTGTACCTGCCCAAGCTGCTGGGGCAGAGCTGGCACAGCCGGTGGCACCGAGCCTGCCAGGGCTGATGTGGGGTTGGCTGGCACCTGTCCCCTGTCCCTCTGTCACCACTGCTGTGGTGGTTTTGAGCTGTTTACAGTGGTTTTTTAGCTGTTTATAGTGGTTTTTACCTGTTTATAGTGGGGTTTTTTAGCTTCTTTGTGAGTTTTTTAAGCTGTTCATTGGGTTTTTATCTGTTTATAGTGGTTTTTATCTGTTTATAGTGGGTTTTTAGTTGTTTCATGATTTTTTAGCTGTTTATAATGATTTTTAACTGTTTATAGTGGGTGTTTTAAATCTGTTTAGTGTTTTTTTAGCTGTTTCCCATCTCTGGAAGTGCCCAAATCCAACCTGGCACAGCGGGGGTGGCATCCTACCCACGCCACGAGGCACGAAGCCATTTCCAAGACCCAAAACCGGTGACTTTTCTCTCAGCACCACCTACATTTCTCACACACAGCCCCTCCTCTGCCCGCGGGGCAGCTGCAGCTGAAGTTGTGCCCGTCGTCCTGGCAGGTGCCACCGTGCAGGCAGGGCTGGGACTGGCAGGGCCGCGGGGCGGGCGCGGTGCCAGGGGGCAGCGGGGTGGGCTTCCTCCTGCTGCTGCTGCTGCTGCCAGGGCTCCTGGTGCTGCCAGGGCTCCTGGTGCTGCCAGGGCTCCTGGGGGTGCTGCCAGGGCTCCTGGGGGTGCTGCCAGGGCTCCTGAGGGTGCCCAGCACGGGGCCGGGGCTGCCCCCGGGCTCGCCCTGCTGCCCCGGGGCCGCGGTGGGCGCGGGCACCCTGCGGGTGGTGCCCGGTGCCATGGTGGTGGCCGTGGTGGTGGTGACGGTGGTGGTGAAGAGCCGGGGGATCCAGTCTGGAACACAGCGGGGACGGGGTCACCTGGGGATGGGGGAGCTGGGGATTTGGGGTCACCTGGGGATGGGGGAGCTGGGGATTTGGGGTCACCTGGGGATGGGGGAGCTGGGGATTTGGGGGCAGCTGAGGGGCGAGGCTGGGGTCAGGTGTGGGTTGGGTTTAGGGTCAGGTGTGGGTTAGTTTTAGGGTTAGGTATGGGTTAGGTATGGGTTAGGTTTAGGGACAAATGTAGGTTAGGTTTAGGGTCAGGTATGGGTTAGGTTTAGGGTCAGGTGTAGGTTAGTTTTAGGGAAAAGTGTGGGTTAGGTTTAGGGTTAGGTATGGGTTAAAGTTAGGATTAGCTTTAGGGTCAGGTGTAGGTTAGGGTTAGGGTCAAGTGTGTGTTAGTTTTAGGGTCAGATGTGGGTTAGGTTTAGGGTTAGGTATGGGTTAGTTTTAGGGTCAGGTGTGGGTGAGTTTTAGGGTTAGGTTTAGGGTCAAGTGTGGGTTAGGTTGAGGGTTAGGTATGGGTTAAGTTTAGAGTCAGGTGTAGGTTAGGTTTAGGGTCAAGTGTGGGTTAGGTTTAGGACCACGTGTGGGTTAGGGTTAGGTTTAGGGTCAGGTGTAGGTTAGTTTTAGGGTCAGGCATGGGTTAGGTTTAGGGTCAGGTGTAGGTTAGTTTTAGGGTCAGGTATGGGTTTGTTTTAGGGTCAGGTATAGGTTAGTTTTAGGGTTAGGTCTGGGTTATGAGAGGAGCAGCCAGCATGGCCATAGAGCAGAAATTTGCAACCCAAGAGGCCTCAAAGTGCACAAAAATTGGGGTTTTTTTGGGATGCTGGCAGTGCATGGGTGGAGCAGAAGCTGTCCCAGACTGGCCAGCACCCCTGAATCCCAGGATCCCTTTGCAGGCCACACCCCAGGGGTGGCACTGGCCACATCCCACGGAAAAGGGGGATTTTAACCCTTTGCTGGTTCACGGGGAAGCCCTGGAAGGGATTTCCCAGAGAAGCTGAGGCTGCCCCATCCTGGAAGTGTCCAAGCACCCTCTGGAAGATCCCTGCCCATGTCCAGACCCTTTTTAAGTCCCTCCCAAAAATGTTTGGAGGTTGGGATTCCTCCAGACCCACCCAGGGAAGGTTTTAAAGGGTTGCCAAGACCAGCAGAGCCCCCCTGGCATCCTGAAGCCCCAAAGCAAGCGAGGGGCACTCACCAAAATCCATGAATTTGATGTGCTCCTGCTGGGGCTGCTTCACCAGGATGGTTTTTCTCTTGGCAGCTCGGAGCTGCTTCAGCAGAGCCCCCTGGACATCAGCAGCCGTGCAGGACGTGGCTGCAGCCGGCCAGGAGGGCAAAGGAGGGAAGCAACAGGAGAATTCAACAGAACTGCCCTCCCATGACCTCCCCAAATCCCTCCTTCCCCAAGGAAATAATCCTCTTTGCCAAGGAAATAATCCTCCTTTGCCAAGGAAATAATCCTCCTTTCCAAGGAAATAATCCTCCTTTCCAAGGAAATAATCCTCCTTTCCAAGGAAAATAATTCTCCTTCCCAAGGAAAATAATTCTCCTTCCCAAGGAAAATAATTCTCCTTTCCAAGGAAAATAATTCTCCTTCCCAAGGAAAATAATTCTCCTTCCCAAGGAAAATAATTCTCCTTCCCAAGGAAATAATTCTTCTTTCCCAATGAAACTAACCCTCCTTTCCCAAGGAAAATAATACTCCTTCCCAAGGAAAATAAAACTCCTTCCCAAAGAAAATAAACCTCTATTCTCAAGGAAAATAACTCTCCTTTCCAAGGAAAATAATCCCTCCATTCCCAAGGAAAATAATCCTCCTTTCCCAAGGAAAATTAAACCTTCTTTCCCAAGAAAAATAATCCTTCTTCCTCAATGAAAATATTCCTTCTTTCCCAAGGAAATTAACCCTCCTTTCCCAAGGAAATTAACCCTCCTTTCCCAAGGAAATTAACCCTCCTTTCCCAAGGAAATTAACCCTCCTTTCCCAAGGAAATTAACCCTCCTTTCCCAAGGAAATTAACCCTCCTTTCCCAAGGAAATTAACCCTCCTTTCCCAAGGAAAACCCTTCCAGCTCCCTCAGCGTGCAGCCCCTCCCGGCTCCCCTCACACGGAAATTTTGCAGGATAAAAGAGCCAACCCCAGTGAATTTTGGGATGGTTCTTTCCCTCTCCTCCCCGAGGGCTTTCCCAGCCAGAATTCCTGCTGGGAATGGCGGGAGTGGCCCCACCTGGGTCAAAGTGGGCCTCCACGATGACCCTGACGGCGCTGCTCTGGCCCAGGTCCCGCACGCGGATGCTCCTGAAATCCTTCCTGACATCAGAACCTCGGAACAGCTCGTCCAGCTGGGGAAGGAAAGGGTTAACAGGGAGATCCTGGCACGGGGATGCTGCCAGGGAAGGATCCAGGCTTGGAATTGCTTCCTAGCCTTTGTAAGGCAGTGACAGGGAGGGGACAGGGGACAATTCCAGCTGCTCTTTAGGGGGTACAACAGGATCCATAAACTTCCAGCTGTTCTTTAGGGGGTAGAACAGGCTCCATAAACAATTCCAGCGGTTCTTTAGGGCCAAGGGAAGAATGGGATCCACAAACACAGTGGGACAGGGATGTTCTGTGACAAATCCAGCTGTTCTTTAGGGGGTAGAACAGGCTCCATAAACAATTCCAGCGGTTCTTTAGGGCCAAGGGAAGAATGGGATCCACAAACACAGTGGGACAGGGATGTTCTGTGACAAATCCAGCTGTTCTTTAGGGGGTAGAACAGGCTCCATAAACAATTCCAGCGGTTCTTTAGGGCCAAGGGAAGAATGGGATCCACAAACACAGTGGGACAGGGATGTTCTGTGACAAATCCAGCTGTTCTTTAGGGGGTAGAACAGGCTCCATAAACAATTCCAGCGGTTCTTTAGGGCCAAGGGAAGAATGGGATCCACAAACACAGTGGGACAGGGATGTTCTGTGACAAATCCAGCTGTTCTTTAGGGGGTAGAACAGGCTCCATAAACAATTCCAGCGGTTCTTTAGGGCCAAGGGAAGAATGGGATCCACAAACACAGTGGGACAGGGATGTTCTGTGACAAATCCAGCTGTTCTTTAGGGGGTAGAACAGGCTCCATAAACAATTCCAGCGGTTCTTTAGGGCCAAGGGAAGAATGGGATCCACAAACACAGTGGGACAGGGATGTTCTGTGACAAATCCAGCTGTTCTTTAGGGGGTAGAACAGGCTCCATAAACAATTCCAGCGGTTCTTTAGGGCCAAGGGAAGAATGGGATCCACAAACACAGTGGGACAGGGATGTTCTGTGACAAATCCAGCTGTTCTTTAGGGGGTAGAACAGGCTCCATAAACAATTCCAGCTGTTCTTTAGGGCCAAAGGGAAGAATGGGATCCACAAACACAGTGGGACAGGGATGTTCTGTGACAATTCCAGCTGTTCTTTAGGGCCAAGGGAAGAATGGGATCCATAAACAATTCCAGCTGTTCTTTAGGGCCAAGGCAAGAGCAGGATCCATAAATCATGTGGGACAGGGAACCATCGTCCATTTTGGGACCATTTTGGGCTCATCTTGGTTGTAGGCCCAAGGGGGATCCATTGAGGATTTTAATAAATCCCTCTTTATTCCTTGACCCCGTTCCAGGGCAGCCTGAGGGCAGCAGCAGGGTCCCTGTGGTGCCAGCTGTGCCCCGGGCACGGAGCTCACCGCGCTCTCGATGCTCCGCGCCGTCTCCCCGAAGAGCTCGGATTTGGGGTCGGCCATCTCCGGGGTGTAGAACAGCTCCTGGCCCTCCACCTCCTCCAGGATCAGCACTCCTTGGAACACCTTGGTGGCTGCGGGACGAGGGAGCACAAGACAAAGGCCTTGAGCTGGGCAGGGGCGGCGAGGGAGCGCCGCAGTCCCTGCCAGAGGGGGATGGCAGTGTGGGGGTAGTGCCAGTGCCGGGTTAGTGGGGATGGGACGGGCACAGCCATGGAGGGTTAGTGCTGGAGCAGATGGCAAGGACCAGGCTGGAGATGGCAGCTTTTACCAGACGGGTTCCTGCGAGCTCCGGCCCGGAGAGCAGCCCCCCTGCTCCGCTGGGTGACAAGAGAGACACGTTAGAGGACACGCCACGGCCCGGGGCACCCGCGGGGGCACAGCGGGGCCACCCGGGCTGGGGCCGAGGGGACAGCTGGCACAGGGCAACCACAGCCCTGCCAACCACCTGGAACATTCCCTGGAACAGCGGGAATGCCAGTGCTGGATCCTGCCCTGGGGATGCAGAGGATGGAGAGATCCTGCTGGGGGAGCCACACAGGAGCTTCCTTTTCCTTTCCATTTTCCCCTCTCCTTTTTCCTTTTCCCCTTCTCTCTCTCTTTCCATTTTCCCTTTCCCGCTTCCTTTTCCCTTCTCCTTTTCTCTCTCCTTTTTCCTTTTCCTTCCCCTTTCCTCTTTCCCTTTCTCTTTTCCTTTTCTGCTTTCCCTCTCCCTTTCCCTTCTCCCTTCTCCTTTTCCCTCTCCCTTTTCCTTCCCCTTTCCCTCTCCCTTTCCCTTCTCCTTTTCCCTCTCCCTTTTCCTTCCCCTTTTCCCTCTCCTTTTCTCTCTTCCTTTTCTGCTTTCCCTCTCCCTTTCCCTTTTCCCTTCTCCTTTTCCCTTCTCCTTTTCCCTCTCCTTCTCCCTTTCCCTTCACACAGGACTTTTAACCCTTTATGGGTGAAAAGGGAAAGTGCTGTTTTCCCAGAGGCAAAGGGGATGTCCCACTGGAAACCCCAAGGAACAAGGAAGGATCTAAGTGAGGAAAAATCTGGGACGTGGCCCCTGAGGAACAATTTTCAGGACAACAAGGATATTCTGCCAGCAGAGATGGGGCTGTGCTTCCTCACACTGTGGGAAGGAGGAGAGATCCCAGCTGGGTCAGGGAGCAGCAAACACCCCCAGGAAGATCCCAAATCTTCCTTCAGCCCCAAATCCACCTGGGCAGTTCTGTGTGTCATCGCCCTTGAGAGATCCTAATTCCTGACCCCAAAGGGATCCCAAACCAGTCCCAAATCTGGCTGGGCAGTTCTGTGTCACTAACCCTGAGAGATCCCAAACTCCTGACCTCAAATAGACGCCAAACCAGCCCCAAATCCAGCTGGGCAATTCTGTGTCATCCCCTTTGAGAGATCCCAAACTCCTGGCCCCAAACCAGCCCCAAATCCAGCTGGGCAATTCTGTGTCATCCCCTTTGAGAGATCCCAAACTCCTGGCCCCAAACCAGCCCCAAATCCAGCTGGGCAGTTCTGTGTCATCCCCTTTGAGAGATCCCAAACTCCTGGCCCCAAACCAGCCCCAAATCCAGCTGGGCAGTTCTGTGTCCTCCCACCCTGAGAGTTCCCAAACTCCTGACCCCAAAGGGATCCCAAACCAGCCCCAGGCTCACTGGGGCAGTTCTGTGTCATTCCCCTTGAAAGATCCCAAAGTCCTGACCCCAATCCAGCCCCAAATCCACTGGGGCAGTTCTGTCCCCTCTCCCCCTGTGAGACCCCCTCTCCTGACCCCAAGGCCCCCCAGCCCCAGCCCCAGGCTCACTGGGGCAGTTCTGTCCCCTCTCCCCCTGTGAGACCCCCTCTCCTGACCCCAAGGCCCCCCAGCCCCAGCCCCAGGCTCACTGGGGCAGTTCTGTCCCCTCTCCCCCCGTGAGACCCCCATCCTGGCCCCAGAGGGACCCCAAACCCCAGCCCAGCTCACCGGGGCAGTTCTGTCTCCTCTCCCCCTGAGAGTTCCCAAACTCCTGACCCCGAAGGGATCCCAAAGCAGCCCCAGCTCACCGGGGCAGTTGCTGCCCTCGCTGTCGGCCATGGCGGTTTTGCCGTCGGCGCAGCAGCCCAGGGCGCTGTTGTAGCACGTGGCCCTCTCGATGGCAGGCGTGGATGTCACCTGGGCCTCGGCCAGCTCCTCCTCGCCTGGGGACAGCAGGGGACACCCGGCAGTGACACCCCTGCGTGGCACCCGCCCGCTTGTGGGGACACGCAGGGTGGCTGGAGCCAGCACCAAAGGGAAGGCTGGAGCTCTGTGTTTAGCCAGAGTGGTTCGGTGGGCGGCGCTGGCGCGGCGCTTGCGGCCGCGGTGGGCGCGGGGGGCGCGGGCAGCAGGAGCCGCTCCGGGGGCAGCGTGGGCAGCGGCGTGGGGGGCACCGGGGGGCTCGACAGCGTGATGGACTCTGCGGGGCAGCAGACAGGGCACGTGAGCAGGGGTGGCACTGGGAGGGGGGTGACAAAGCCCGGGAAGGGGAGGTGATGTGACAGGGGGGGTCTCACGGGGTGGCAGGGCCAGCCTCAGGATACGGGGGTGGCACCAGCCTGGGGACACTCAATGGCACTGCCCCAGGGTCACTGGGCATGGCACTGCCCTGGGGACACTGAGCATGGCACTGTCCTGGGGACACTCAGTGTGGTACTGTCCTGGGGACACTCAATGGCACTGTCACAGTGACACTGAGCATGGCACTGCCCTGGGGACACTCAGTGGGCTGGGGACATTCAGCGTGGCACTGCTCGGGGAGCATTCACTGTGGCACTGCCCAGGGGACACCGAGTGCCACCGCGGAGCCCAGGGTGTCACTCACCGGCAGATCCCGCCCCGCTGGACTCCTGGTCCCCGCTGGTGCCCATGTCCTGGTCCCCACTGCCCTCGGCGCTGCCGGACTCGCCGTAGCCCGGCTGGCTGGTGCCCGCCACCACGGGCACGGTGACCAGCGGGCGGACGGTGGCCCTGGGCACGCCGGGGGTGGCCCAGGCCGTGGTGGCCGGCCTGGCTGTTGTCACACGCCTGGTGGCGGGGTGGCCTCGCTCGGTGGGCGGCGCCTGCCCAGGGGACACTCAATGGCACTGCCCCAGGGACACTGGGCATGGCACTGCCCAGGGGACACTCAATGGCACTGCCCTGGGGACACTGAGCATGGCACTGTCCTGGGGACACTCAGTGTGGTACTGTCCTGGGGACACTCAATGGCACTGTCACAGTGACACTGAGCATGGCACTGCCCAGGGGACACTCAATGGCACTGCCCCAGGGACACTGGGCATGGCACTGCCCAGGGACACTCAGTGGCATTGTCACAGTGACACTGGGCATGGCACTGCCCAGGGGACACTCAATGGCACTGCCCCAGGGACACTGGGCATGGCACTGCCCAGGGACACTCAGTGGCATTGTCACAGTGACACTGGGCATGGCACTGCCCGGGGACACTCACCATGGCACTGCCCCACGTGCTTGACTGTGATGTGCTGGCCCTGCCTGCAGGCGATGGTCCGCAGCTGGCACTGGTCCCCGTAGGTGACACCATCAGAGCCACACACCTGGGGACACAGGGGACACCGGAGCTGCACCCCTGGGCCCCTCCCCGTGACACCAAGAGGGCCCTGAACCCTGGCAGCGATTTTGGGGGGCTCCTCTGGGGCACAGAGGGACCAGGGCGGGCAGGGGTGCCAGGGGACATCTGTGACCGGTGTGTCCCCCTTGCCCAGCAGGGTTTTGTGGCCCACCCGATGCCCCCGAGCCCCCCAGGTGTCCCCAGACCTTGGTGGTGTTGGCCTCGGGGCACAGCGGGGACGGGCACTCGCAGTGGGCGAAGCCGTTCAGCTCCACGCACGAGGCCCCGAAGTCACAGCTCAGCTCCTCGCAGGACCTGGGGGCTGAGGGGTCTGGGCAGGGCGACAGGGAGCCGGGAAAACATCCTGGTTAGCAGGAGCCAAAATCCCAAACAGGCAGCAGCCAAAATCCCAAATAGACAGGAGCCAAAATCCCAAACAGGCAGCAGCCAAAATCCCAAATAGACAGGAGCCAAAATCCCAAACAGGCAGCAGCCAAAATCCCAAATAGACGGGAGCCAAAATCCCAAATAGACGGGAGCCAAAATCCCAAATAGACAGGAGCCAAACCCCAAATAACCAAGATCCAAACCCCAAATAAACAGGACCCAAAACCCCCAAATAACCAAGACCCAAACCCCAAATAAACAGGACCCAAAACCCCCAAATAACCAGGACCCAAACCCCAGTGCTGCAGGACCCAAAACACAAATAACCAAGACCTAAACCCCCAGATAAACAGGACCCAAACCCCAAATAAACAGGACCCCAAACCCTAGTGCTGCAGGACCCAAAACCCACATAAATAGGACCCAAAAAAATAGGAACCAAACCCCAAATAAACAGGACCCAAACCCCTAACAAGCAGGACCCAAAACCCCAAATAACCAAGACTCAAACTCCCAAATAAACAGGACCCAAACCCCAAACAAGCAGGACCCAAACCCCAAAGGAGCAGGACCCAAACCCCAAAGGAGCAGGACCCAAAACCCCAAAGGAGCAGGACCCAAACCCCAAATAACCAAGACCCAAAACCCCAAATAACCAGGACCAAACCCCAAAGGAGCAGGCCCCAAACCCCAAATAAGCAGGATCCAAACCCCTAACAAGCAGGACCCAAATCCCAAATAAGCAGGACTCAAACCCCAAAGGAGCAGGCCCCAAGGCCAGGCACGCAGGCCCCTCACCCTTGTGGCAGCCCGCGGTGCCCAGCGTGCTGCCGTCGGGGCACTGGGTGCACTTCATGCCCGTGATGCCCGTCCTGCAGGAGCACAGCCCCGACATCTGCTCGCAGTCATCCCGCACCGAGCCCACGGGGTCACAGTGACACGCTGCCAACGGGACACGGGTCACGGGGGAACGGGGTGGCAACGGGGCAGAACAGCCACGGGGTGGGGACGGGGGAATAACGGAGTTATGGGGTGGGAATGGGGGAATAACAGAGTTATGGGGTGGGGATGGGGGAATAACAGAATTATGGGGTGGGGATGGGGGAAAAAACAGAGTTATGGGGTGGGAACAGGGCAGGAACATAGCCATGGGGTGGGGATGGGGGAATAACAGAGTTATGGGGTGGTAATAGGGAAAGAACACAGATATGGGGTGGGGAAGGGGGAAGAACACAGATATGGGGTGGGAACGGGGGAAAGAACACAGATATGGGGTGGGGAAGGGGGAAGAACACAGATATGGGGTGGGAACGGGGGAAAGAACACAGATATGGGGTGGGGAAGGGGGAAGAACACAGATATGGGGTGGGAACGGGGGAAAGAACACAGATATGGGGTGGGAATGGGGAAATGCAGTTATAGGGTGGGAAAGGGGGGCCTGGCACCATGTGGGAATGGGGGTGGTGATGTGCCATCCGTGTCACTCAGGGAAGTGTCCCACCCATGGGCAGTGTCCCCTCGCTGTCCCTCAGGGGTACCCCATCCCTGTCCCCCTCGGGCACTGTCCCCTCTCTCTCTGTCACTGCTGGGTGGCACCCTGGGCACTGCCCCTCCCTGTGGCAGTCACTCAGGGGGTGTCCCCTCTCTCTGTGCCAGCCACTGCTGGGTGGCACCCCTGTCCCTGGTCACTGTCCCCTTGCTGGCGGTCACTCAGGGGGTGTCCCCTCTCTCTGTGCCAGCCACTGCTGGGTGGCACCCCTGTCCCTGGTCACTGTCCCCTCCCCGTGGCGGTCACTCAGGGGGTGTCCCCTCTCTCACTGTCACTGCTGGGTGGCACCCCTGTCCCCTGGTCACTGTCCCCTCCCCGTGGTGGTCACTCAGGGGGTGTCCCCTCTCTCTGTCACTGACGGGTGACACCCCAGTCCCCTCGCTGGCGGTCACTCACGCGTGCAGCCGCTCCGGCCGTCGGTGACGATGCCGCGGAAGTTCCAGAAGCCGGGCTCGCAGCGGTCGCACTTGAGGCCGCCCACGCCGGGCTTGCAGGAGCACTGGCCCGTGCCCGGGTCACAGGAGCCACCGTAGGAGCCGTACGGGTTGCACTGGCACGTGCCTGAGGGCAGGGACAGCAGGGGACACCCGTGTCACCCGTGCCACCCTGTGCCACCCTCCTCCATCAGCCCCCGGGCTGAAGGCGCTGTCAGCAAGAGCTCGTCTCTCATTAGCATCAAAGGGGAAGGAAGCTATTAGAGGGTGATTATTAATTCATTAAGCAGCAGCTTGATGGAGGGAAGGCAGCCAAAGATAGACAGACAGCCAGATGCTGTCCTTGTCCCAGCGGGAAAGGGACAGGAAGGGACAGGAAGGGGCACAAAGGGACAGGAAGGGGCACCTGGGGATCAGCAGGAGGGGGTGAGGACATTCCAGGAGCAGGGAAAGGGAATGTCCATGGATAAACCTGGCCAGGGCTTCAAGCTGCTCCTTGAGTGGTGAGGGACACATGTGGGACACGGGTGGGACACGGGTGGGACATTCGTGGGACACAGACTGGTGGCATCTGGGTCCATGGATGGTGGGGCAGGATTTCCATCAGAAAATCCAAAACCATCACTGCCAGAACAATGGAAATGCTCCTGTCCCCTGGAGCAACCCCTGGGCAACACCCCCGCAGCTCCTGCAGCCTTTCCCATCTTCCAGCTGTGTTTCCCCCATTATCCGTCTGCTTTCCCCCATTATCCAGCTGGTTTTTCCCCCTATATCCAGCTGGTTTTCTTCCCTATATGCAGCTGGTTTTCTCCCCTATATCCAGCTGGTTTTCCCTCCATTATCCAGCTGGTTTTCTTCCCTATATGCAGCTGGTTTTCTCCCCTATATCCAGCTGTTTTTCCCTCCATTATCCAGCTGTTTCCCCCCCATTATCCAGCTGTATTTCCCCCCATTATCCAGCTGTATTTCCCCCATTATCCAGCTGTTTCCCCCCATTATCCAGCTGTTTTCCCCCATTTTCCAGCTGTTTTCCCCCATTTTCCAGCACTCCCTGCTCAGCATTACCCCCCCAGAGTCTCCACGGGCTGATGTTCCCCCCATCAGGCAGCCACAGCCTCAGCTGTTGAGAGCCTTTCAAAACGCTCCTGCTGGCTCGGATAATTAGTGAATAAATATTAATGAGCCCCAGGCCAGCTCAGCTCCCTGCACAGGGGGTCACCCAGCTGTCACCGGGCCTCTGGAAGGTCCCCAGGTGACAATTTCCCCCCATGGAATATTCCTGTCACTCAGGCAGGTGGAAGTCCCCGAGCCCAGCAATGGGGTGAAGGCACCAAGGCCCTGGAGACGCCTCTGGGGACATCCAAAGTGTCCCCTCCAGCCCCCTGCCCTCCTGCATTCCCAAGGGATCGAGGCCTGGGAGCTGGCTCAGGGATTTTGGAAGGACGGGAGGATCACCAGCAGTGGGGCAGGAGGGGTCAGTCCCTTCTCCCAGGGGACAGGAGCAGAGGAAAAGCTGCACCAGGGGAGGGTCAGGTTGGAGATTTGGGAAGATTTGCTCCCTGGAAGAGTGGTCAGGTTTGGAATGGGCTGTGCAGGGAAGCGATGGAATCACCACCCCTGGAAATGCTCACAACCCCGTGCACGTGGCACTTGGGGACAGGACTCTGTGGTGACAGAGCTGCAACTCAGGAGAGCTTTTCCAGCTTGAATATTCCACAGTCCTACAGCTGGGGAGCGTCCAGCTTCATCTCCCGGGGACAGGACCCCAACTCCCCCCTCCAGCTGCCCCTCCGGCCCCCCGAGGGTCCCCTGGTGTCCCCAGAGGTGGCACTCACTGGGACAGCCGGCTGCTCCCACGCCCAGCGCCAGGGTGACGTTGTCGGGGCAGCAGCCGTACACGGTCTGGCTGCAGTGCACCACCAGCAGCGGCGGCGGGGTGGTGGCCAGGCCTGCAGGGGGGACACGGGGACACAAGGGTCACCTTGGCACCCGGGATGTGGCAGCACTGCCACAAACCCTCCTGGAGGTGCTGGGAGCCGGCATGGGGACAGGGGACAGCAGAGCACAGGGACTTTTTAGGGGAGTGGCCCCTGAGAGCAATTCCTGCTCATCCCCAGGGAAAGGACACCAGGGACACGGCTGGGGACATAGACAGCAGGGGGGAGTGGCCTCCCCAGGGGACACACCCAGAGGGGGGAGTGGCCTCCCCAGGGACACACCCAGGGACACACCTGGGACACACCCAGGGACACACCCAGATGGGGAGTGGCCTTCTCAGGGGACACACCCAGGGACACACCCGGGACACACCCAGGGACACACCCAGATGGGGAGTGGCCTTCTCAGGGGACACACCCAGTGACACACCCAGAGGGGGCGTGGCCTCCCCAGGGACACACCCAGAGCGGGCATGGCCTCCCCAGGGACACACCCAAAGGGGGAGTGGCCTCCCCAGGGACACACCCAAAGGGGGAGTGGCCTCCCCAGGGACACACCCAAAGGGGGAGTGGCCTCCCCAGGGACACACGCAGTGACATACCCAGAGGGGGCGTGGCCTCGTGGGACACACCCAGAGGGGGCATGGGCTCCCCGGGACACACCCGGAGGGGGCGTGGCCTCGTGGGACACACCCGGGGGGGCGTGGCCTCGTGGGACACACCCAGAGGGGGCGTGGCCTCCCGGGGACTCACCCCTGCAGGCTCCCTGGCCGGTGACAAAGAGCTCCTGGCGTTTCTCACACCGCGTCTTCTTCAGCTCGCACTCGCTGCCGTAGGTGACGCCGTCAGAGCCGCACACCTGCCAGCAGCGGGGCGAGGGCACGGCTCAGGGCAGCCCGCGGCGCGGCCGTGCCAGCCGGGGAGGGGGCGCAGGGGGCAGGGCTCACCGGGCCGCGGGGCACGGCCGCGCAGGTGAAGTCGCACACGCAGGGCTCGTCCTCGGCGTCCTCGTCCCACCAGCCCCCGAACTGCCGGCACCGCTCCTGCTCGCACTCGCTGCCGTCCCCCGAGCCAGAGCCCCCCGAGCCACACTCTGGGGACAGCGACAGAAGGGCTGTGCTTTCGGCCTGCCTGGATGAGCTCCAGGAGGAGCTCGTTACAACTGAGATGGTTCTGCTACTTGGTATGAAATTAGGAGGATGGATTTGGAGGTTGGAAATAGAAAAAGGTTTAATAAAAGGTAAAATAGCAAAGCCTTTACGGAGAAAACTCTGCTTTTCTCTGTAAATTACAGCTAAGAGGTTCTTCCTTTTGCTAAAACACCCCACAAAAATGATTATTTCCTTTGTTCTTTTATTTTATTAGTGAATTACTTAGGTGGGACCTCTTGGCCTCTGTCCAACCTGACAACCCCAGGTCTGAGGTGACCTCAAAGGTCCTATGAGGTGTTTTTTTACCAAATTGGGGAGAGAAACTTCTGGGCTTTTTGCCTTTTTAAGCAGACAAAGAATAATTTGGTCACTCCATCAACAGAGGGCACATTCCTACAAGGATGGCCACGGTGACATTTCAGGGGATGGGGACAAAGCCCGGTCCTGGTTTGGGGACACGCCCAGAGCTGCACAGCTCCAAACCCCAGATTTCACCTTTCAGCCCCAAAATCCTGCCCCACACAGAGGGGGATGGACAGTCCCACCTCAGAGGGGCTCCAGCTCCTCCTCCCCCACAGGAGCCAAACCGGGAGCCCCACGTCACCCAGCTGCCACCCGCTTTGGTGACAGTTCCACTCCATGCTTTGAGCCAGGAACCTAAATCCTAACCGTGCAGGACCCAAAATCCCAAATAAACAGGAGCCAAAATCCCCAGTTATACAGGAACCAAAATCCCAGTTATTCAGGAACCTAAATCCCAAATAAACAGGGACCAAAATCCCAGTTACACAGGAACCAAAATCCCAACTGTGCAGGACCCAAAATCCCAGTTGTGCAGGACCCAAAATTCCCAATAAAGAGAAACAAAATTCCCAGTTATACAGGAACATAAATCCCAGTTATTCAGGAACTAAAATCCGAAACAGACAGGAACAAAAATCCCAGATGGAAAATCCCAAACACGCAGAAATCTAAATCCCAACTGTGCAGGACCCAAAATCCCAAACAGACAGAAATCTAAATCCCAGTGATACAGGAACCTAAATCCCAGTTGTGCAGGACCCAAAATCCCAATTTAACACCCCGAAGTGTGCACAGGCAGCTTGTGGGTGACGTGGAGCTGGGGGAGGGCTGGGATTTGGGGCTGGGGGAGGACTGAAGGCCCTGGAGCTGTGCAGGATGAGCTGCAGCAGCAGCAGAGATGTGGCTGATTTCAAAGGCTGCTGGAAGGGGAAAAGGGATGGGGGAAGGGGAACCTGGCCCTTTTTATGCTGTGATCAAAGGCTGGGCTCTGGCATCACACACAGAATTATTCAGGCTCTGCCTGCGGAGGGACAGCAACCTGAAATCCCCCGAGCAGGGCTGTGATCAAACACCCTGCTCTGCCTTTCCCCTCTGCCTCTGACGTGTGCCAGGCAACCTCAGCTCCCTCCCTGTGCCAGCAGGAGCCCACAGCTTTCCCCTGAGTGGGAAAACTCGGCAGGTTCTTTATTTTTAGGCTCACCAAGAAAGGCAGAGCTGACCCCAAAACCCTCCCCGGAGCTCTGCTGAGGGAACAGAGCCGTGGGATGGGATGGGTTGGAAGGGAACTTAAAAATCATCCAGTCCCAAACCCCTGCCAGGGGCCAGGGATGGCACTGGAGAGGGAAAATTTACATTGGATGCAGAGACAGGACAAGGGGGAATGGCTTCAAACTGAAAACCAGGAAATTTAGGTGGGATAGACGGGAAAAAAAAGGGGGAAATTTATACAGGATGCAGAGGCAGGACAAGGGAGATTGGCTTCAAACTGAAAACTGAAAAATTAGGTGGGATATAGGGGGAAAAAAAGGGGAAAATTTACACAGGATGCAGAGACAGGACAAGGGAGATTGGCTTCAAACTGAAAACTTTAGGTGGGAAATAGGGGGGAAAAAAGGGAAAATTTACACAGGATGCAGAGGCAGGACAAGGGAGATTGGCTTCAAACTGAAAACTTTAGGTGGGAAATAGGGGGGAAAAAAGGGAAAATTTACACAGGATGCAGAGGTAGGACAAGGGGGAATGGATTCCAGCTGAAACCCAAGAAATTTAGGTGGGATATGGGGAAAAAATTCCTTTCTGTGAGGGCGGGCGGGCCCTGGCACAGGGTGCCCAGAGAAGCTGTGGTTGCCCCTGGATCCCTGGCAGTGCCCAAAGTAGTTTGGATAGAATTGGAAAAAAACGGGATAGCAGAATGGGGGCTGGAATTAGAAGGGGGCTGGCACAGGACTGGGGTCTCAGAGGGCACAGAGGGGTCTCACAGGGCAGGAGGGGCAGCAGAAAAGTGTGGCTGGCACAGAATCTGCTGCTCTGAGGGGTTTTTGGGGTCTCACAGGGCAGGAGGGGCAGCAGAGAAGCGTGATTGGCACAGGACCCACTGCTCTGGGGGATTTTTGGGGTCTCACAGGGCACAGAGGGGCACCAGAGAAGCATGGTTGGCATAGGACCTGCTGTTTTGGGGTCTCACAGGGCAGGAGGGGCAGCAGAGAAGCATGGCTGGCACAGGACCTGCTGGTTTGGGGTCTCACAGGGCACAGAGGGACAGTGAGGGAAGCATGGCTGGTGCAGGACCCACTGCTCTGAGGGGTCTGGGGTTTCACAGGGCACAGAGTGGCACCAGAAAAGCGTGGCTGGCACAGGACCCATTGCTCTGAGGGGTTTTTGGGGTCTCACAGGGCACAGAAGGGCACCAGAAAAGGGTGGCTGGAACAGGACATGCTATTTTAGGGGCTTTGGTGACTCACAGGTCACAGAGAAAGAATGGCTGGCACAGGACCCGCTGCTCTGAGGGGTTTGGGGTCTCACAGGGCACAGATGGACAGTGAGGGAAGCATGGCTGGCACAGAACCCGCTGCTCTGAGGGGTTTGGGGTCTCACAGGGCACAGAGGGACAGTGAGGGAAGCATGGCTGGCACAGAACCCGCTGCTCTGAGGGGTTTGGGGTCTCACAGGGCACAGAGGGGCAGCAGAAAAGCGTGGCTGGCACAGGACCCACTGCTCAGGGGGATTTTTGGGGTCTCACAGGGCACAGAGGGACAGCAAGGGAAGCATGGCTGGCACAGGACCTGGTATTTTGGGGGTGTTTGGGGTCTCACAGGGCACAGAGGGACAGTGAGGGAAGCATGGCTGGCACAGAACCCGCTGCTCTGAGGCGTTTGGGGTCTCAGTGCACACCAAGAGAACCTCCCCTCGCTCCTTCCCCCCTTTCCCCCCACCCCACGGAGAAGCAGGACCAACCTACCGTCCTCACAGGGTCCCATCCTGGCCACCTCGATGCTCTTCTGCAGCTGGCACGAGGCCACCTGCAGCTGGCAGGGGCTGTCGTAGGTGACGCCGTCGGTGCCGCAGACGGGGGCCGGGGGCTGGCGCTCGCAGCGCGGGCACAGGCACTGCCCACCCACACAGCGGCTACCAAAGGAGCACACGGAGCTGCCACACGACCCTGGGGCACAGGGAGGGACACATCAGCCACCCCGAGTGGCTCCCGTGGCCGCCAGGGTTTTGTCACAGAGCTGGTGGCATCACCGTTACAAATTCGTTATTAATCCGTTATTAATTTGTTATTGTCGTTCCTTATTTAATCTGTGCAAACTGGGTGCCCACCCTGAGTATTTTGGATTGCCAGCAGCTCTTTCTGGAGGAAAAAAATCTCATTTCATTACTGATTCCAGGAGGCAGCTGCCGCCCTCAGCCGTCCTCCCCCAAATTCTTGGGGAATCTCAGCCCAGCTGGACAGGTTTTATTGAGGCTCAAATCATCACTGCAGCTTTTGTTAATAATGGAGGAGCCGAGCAGGGCTTTTAATTCATTAAGAAATTAGCCCAGACAGCTCCCCGGGCTGGGGAGTGGGGAAGAAAGCAGGAACAAAGAGGAATTGACCCCAGGGGAGGGAGGGGAGGGAGAGGATCACACACAGCCCTGCTCTCACTTCTGCTGCTGCCTGTTAACACATTTTTAGCCTAATTCCTGCCCTGGCCCCATGGACATTAATCCAATTTCTCTACTTGGCTCAGACAAACAACACGGGGGGCACTTCCAGCGAGGGGGAAACCAAACCAAAGCTGCTGGAAACACCCAATTACCCCCCAGGTAAAAGGGAAAATCACTCCGGCAGGGCGAGCGCGGCACAAGCGCCGTGGGGCGAGCATCGGCGCCAAGGGGGGCACAGAGGGCACGGAGGGCACGCGGTGGCACTCACTGCAGGGGCCCTGGGCAGCCACCAGGATGTTCTTCTGCTGGGTGCAGGCTCGGACGTGCAGCTCGCACTCGCTGCCGTAGGTGTTGCCGTCGGTGCCGCAGACGGGCTGCGCCGAGGGCACGCACTCGGTGGGGCACACGCAGCGCCCGCTCTCCGCCTCGCAGATGGCACCGAACTGGCACTTCCCACAGCGCTCTGGGCAGGGCAGGGCAGGGTCTGAGTCAGAGCAGGGCTCAGGCACTGCTGGGTCGCTGGAGGGTGGGATGGGCTGAGGGAAAGCTCCTTTTGGAGGGCTCCTCAGCCTGGGGGCTTACAGGGGTGAGGCGGGCACAGATCGACTGGAAACCTCCCCACTTATCTCTTATTAAATACATGTTATTAGGTATTATTATTATATTTTTATATATTTATTATTAGGTATTATTAGGAAATATTATTATATTTTCTATATTTATATATAAGTTCTCTGGGTTGGAGGCAAAGCTCCTTTTGGAGGGCTCTTCAGCCTGGGGGCTTACAGAGGTGAGGCGGGCACAGATCGACTGGAAACCTCCCCACTTATCTCTTATTAAATACATGTTATTAGGTATTATTATATATTATTATATATTATTATATATTATTATAAGTGGTCTGGGTTGGAGGCAAAGCTCGTTTTGGAGGGCTCTTCAACCGGGGAGCTTATAGGGATGAGGCGGGCACAGATCGACTGGAAACCTTCCCACTTATCTCTTATTAAATACACACTATTAGGAAATAGTATTATATTTTATTATTATATTACATTATATTATATTATAATATTTACATATAAGTGGTCTGGGCTGGAGGTAAAGCTCGTTTTGGAGGGCTCTTCAACCGGGGCGCTTACAGGGGTGAGGCAGGCACAGATTGACTGATAACCTCCCCACTTATCTCTTATTAAATACATAGTATTAGGTATTATTAGGAAATATTATTATATTATATTATATTATAATATTTACATATAAATTGTCTGGGTTGGAGGTAAAGCTCCTTTTTGAGGGCTCTTCAACCAGAGAGCTTATAGGGATGAGGAAGGCACAGACTGACTGATAATCTCCCCACTTATCTCTTATTAAATACATGTTATTAGGTATTATTATTATATTTTTATATATTTATTATTAGGTATTGTTAGGAAATATGAATATATTTTATATATAAGTTGTCTGGGTTGGAGGCAAAGCTCGTTTTTGAGTGCTCTTCAACCGGGGTGCTTACAGGGATGCGGCAGGCACAGATTGACTGATAACCTCCAGACTTGGCTGTTATCAAATACATGTTATTAGGTATTATTATTATATTTTTTTATATTTATTATTAGGTATTATTAGGAAATATTATTATATTTTCTATATTAACATATAAGTTGTCTGGGTTGGAGGCAAAGCTCGTTTTGGAGGGCTCTTCAACCTGGGCACTTACAGGGGTGAGGCAGGCACAGATTGACTGATAACCTCCCCACTTATCTCTTATTAAATACATATCATTAGGAAATATTATTATATTTTATTATTATATTATTATATTTTATTATAGTTATATATAAATTGTCTGGGTTGGAGGTAAAGCTCGTTTTTGAGGGCTCTTCACCCTGGGCGCTTCCAGGGATGAGGAAGGCACAGACTGACTGACAACCTCCCCACTTGTCAGTTATTAAATACCTATTATTAGGAAATATTATTAGGCAATATTATTATATTTTTATATATTTATATGTTCATATTAATATTATGTTATTATATTTTTCCTTATGATTAGGAAATATTTACAATAGAGACTCGACAAGGTAAAGGCCTTGTTGAGCCTCTACAGGAGTGAAATGATGCCTCAGGTTTTGGCTCTTCTATTTTTCAGATTCTGCAATGATGCCTCAGGTTTTGGCTTTTCTGTTTTTTAGATTCTGCAATGATGCCTCAGGTTTTGGCTTTTCTATTTTTCAGGTTCTGCAACGATGCCTCAGGTTTTATCTTTTCTAATTTTCAGATTCTGTGCTGCTTTCCTGTGTAGTTCTGAGCTTCACATTAAGGTTCATATTAGGTTTTTTTTTCTGGGAGCACAGAAAAACCTTGATTTTTGTATAAAAAACCAAGCAGCTCCCCGTCCTCGCAGGAGACAGCAGCAAGCACATCCCCTGACTCCTGGGTATTCACTGATTCATCCTCTCCTCCCAACAGCTCCCCTCCCTCCCTGCCACTCATTTCAGCAGGAATTTGGCTCCAAGGTGCTTTTCCTGCTTTTCTCTTGCACACAGCAGCTGCTGCCTTGGCATGGGGGAGGAGGAGGCACCAACCCCCTGCTCGGCTCCTGCTGCTGGCCTCCAGGTTTTTATTCTGCTCTGGAGGTTTTTATCCAGGCCTGGTGGGTTTTATCCTGGCTTTTATCCTGGCCTGGTGGGTTTTATCCTGGTTTTTATCCTGGCCTGATGGTTTTTATCCTGGACTGGTGGTCTTTATCCTGGCTTTTGTCCTGGCCTGGTGATTTTTATCCTGGTTTTTATCCAGGCCTGGTGGGTTTTATCCTGGTTTTTATTCTGGTCTGAAGGTTTTTATCCTGGCCTGGTGGTTTTTATCCTGGTTTTTATCCTGGCCTGGTGGTTTTTATCCTGGTTTTTATCCTGGTTTTTATCCTGGCCTGGTGCGTTTTATCCTGGTTTTTATACTGGCCTGATGGTTTTTATCCTGGCCTGGTGATTTTTATCCTGGCTTTTATCCTGGCCTGGTGGTTTTTATCCTGGTTTTTACCCAGGTCTGATGGTTTTTATCCTGGTTTTTATCCTGGCCTGGTGGGTTTTATCCTGGTTTTTATTCTGGTCTGGAGGTTTTTATCCTGGCCTGGTGGTTTTTATCCTGGCCTGGTGGTTTTTATCCTGGCTTTTATCCTGGCCTGATGGTTTTTATCCTGGTTTTTATCCTGGCCTGGTGGGTTTTATCCTGGTTTTTATCCTGGCCTGATGGTTTTTATCCTGGACTGGAGATTTTTATTCTGGTCTGGAGGTTTTTATTCTGGCCTGGAGGTTTTTATCTTGGCCTGGTGGTTTTTATCCTGGTTTTTATCCTGGCCTGGTGGTTTTTATCCTGGTTTTTATCCTGGCTTTTATCCTGGCCTGGTGGGTTTTATCCTGGTTTTTATCCTGGCCTGATGGTTTTTATCCTGGACTGGAGATTTTTATTCTGGTCTGGAGGTTTTTATTCTGGCCTGGAGGTTTTTATCTTGGCCTGGTGGTTTTTATCCTGGTTTTTATCCTGGCCTGATGGTTTTTATCCTGGACTGGAGATTTTTATTCTGGTCTGGAGGTTTTTATTCTGGCCTGGAGGTTTTTATCTTGGTCTGGAGGTTTTTATCCTGGACTGGTGTTTTTTATCCTGGCCTGGAGGTTTTTATTCCAGCCAGGAGGTTTTTATCCCAACCAGGTTTTTATCCCAGTCTGGAGGCTTTCATCTTGGCCTGGAGGTTTTTATCCTGGCCTGGAGGTTTTTCTTTTAACAACCACAAAATAATCCCCCTGCCAGAATCTCATCACATCCTTTGTCCTTCACCCTGGTGTCCCTTTTGAGGACAAAGGCCAACAACAACAACAAAACCAAAACAACAACTCCAGCCCAAATCTCACCACAGGGCCCCTTGTGCTTGACCCTGGTGTCCCTCTGAAGGACACAGGCCACCAAGAACAACAAAACAACAACAAACACCAAATCTCACCATATGGTACCTTGTCCCTTTGAGGACACAACCAACATGTCCCTTTGAGGACACAACCAACATGACCACAATCCCAGCCCAAATCTCACCACAGGGCCCTTTGTGCTTGACCCTGGTTTCCCTTTGAGGACACAAGCCAACAAGACCACAATCCCAGCCCAAATCTCTCATCAGGCCCCCTTGTTTTTCAACCCTGATGTCCCTTTTGAGGACACAGCCACCACCACCACAACCCCAGCCCAAATCTCACCACAAAGCTCCTTGTCCCTGACCCCAATGTCCTTTTTTGAAGACACAGCCATCACCACCAGCACTATCCCAGGGCTAAATCTAACATCACAGAGCCCTGATTTTATTCTGGTCTGGAGGTTTACCACCACCACCACCAGCACAATCCCAGCCCAAATCTCTCATCAGGCCCCCTTGTTTTTCAACCCTGATGTCCCTTTTGAGGACATAGCCACCACCAGCACCACCAGCACAACCTCAGCCCAAATCTCACCACAAGACCCCTTGTCCCTGACCCCAATGTCCCTTCTGAGGGTCCCTTTGAGGACACAACCAACATGACCACAATCCCAGCCCAAATCTCACCACAGGGCCCTTTGTGCTTGACCCTGGTTTCCCTTTGAGGACACAAGCCAACAAGACCACAATCCCACCCCAAATCTCACATTCAGAGCCCTGATGTCCCTTTTGAGGACACAGCCACCACCATCACCACCAGCACAACCCCAGCCCAAATCTCACCACAAGACCCCTTGTCCCTGACCCCAATGTCCCTTCTGAGGCCACCACCACCACCAGCACAATCCCAGCCCAAACCTCACATCAGAGCCCTGATGTCCCTTTTGAGCCACAGCCACCCCCCAGCCCCATATCTCACCGCAGGGCTCCTTGTCCCTGACCCCAATGTCCCTTTTGAGGACACAGACACCCGCCCTCAACCCCAGGCTGGTGTCTCACCACAGGGCCTCTTGTCCCTGACCCCAATGTCCCTTTTGAGGCCACAGCCACCACCACCACCACCAGCACAATCCCAGCCCAAATCTCACTTCAGGGCCCCTTGTCCCTGATCCCAATGTCCCTCCTGAGGCCACAGCCACCACCACCACCACCAGCACAATCCCAGCCCAAATCTCACCACAAGACCCCTTATCCCTGATCCCAATGTCCCTCCTGAGGCCACAGCCACCCCCCAGCCCCATATCTCACCGCAGGGCTCCTTGTCCCTGACCCCAATGTCCCTTTTGAGGCCACAGGCACCACCAGCACAATCCCAGCCCAAATCTCACTTCAGGGCCCCTTGTCCCTGACCCCAAGGTCCCTTTTGAGGACACAGCCACCCCCCAGCCATGTCTCACTGCAGAGCCTCTTGTCCCTGACCCCAATGTCCCTTTTGAGGCCACAGCCACCACCATCACCACAGCCACCCCCCAGCCCCATATCTCACTTCAGGACCCCTTGTCCCTGATCCCAAGGTCCCTTTTGAGACCACAGCCCCGTGTCTCACCGCAGGGCCCCTTGTGGCGCAGGCCGATGTCCCTCTGCAGCAGGCAGGCCATGGCGTGCAGCTCGCAGGGGTTGCCGTAGGTGCGCTGGTCGGTGCCGCACACGGGGTCGTAGCGGCCCTGGCACTGCTGCTGGCACTCGCACACGGCCTGCTGGTTCTTCACCACGCACGTGGCCCCGAAGGAGCACTCCACGCTCAGGCAGGGGCTGGGCGCGCCCAGGTCTGCGAGGGGACAGGGACAGGCGCGGGTGGCTCGGGGACGCTGGCACGGGGAGGGGTGAACGGGCAGAGCTGCTGGGCTCTGTGCCCTCCGTGCCAGCCCGCCATGCCCGGCCCGGCACGGCCCCCATGCGTGGCAGAGGTGAGGGATGGCAGGGAACGGGAACAGCATTGCCACCCTGTCCCCTGCCCGCGCACGGGAGCAGCACTGGCAGAACCTTCCACAGGGAGAGCTCCCTGAAACCTCCCTTCCGTGGGATCCACACTGCTCCCCAAAAACCTCCCTTCCGTGGGATGCACACTGCTCCCCAAAAACCTCCCTTCCCTGGGAATCACACTGCTCCCCAAAATGCTCCCTTCCCTGGGATCCACACTATCAGGATCACACTGCTCCCCAAAAACCTCCCTTCCCTGGGATCCACATCACCAGGATCACACTGCTCCCTGAAAAACTGCTTTCCCTGGGATCCACACTGCCCCCCAAAAAGCTCCTTTCCCTGGGATCCACACTGCACCCCAAAAAGCTCCCTTCCCTGGGATTCACATAGGTCCCCAAAAACCTCCCTTCCCTGGGATCCACACTGCTCCCTGAAAAGCTCCTTTCCCTGGGATCCACACCATCAGGATCACACTGCTCCCTGAAAAACTGCTTTCCCTGGGATCCACACTGCTCCCCAAAAGCTCCCGGGGCTCCCAGGAGGAGCTGCCTGGGGAGGACACACCTGGTTCCACCACGCTGCTCACCCCCAACCCCATCCTCCTCCCTCCTCTTCCCCGGGAGCTGCTGTGGGGCAGGATGGGGACATCCCGTGGCCTTCCCTCAGCCCAGGGTCGGGAAGGGAATTCCCTGTGGATGCCCAGGCCAGCCCAGCAGTGCCACCTCCCCTGAGGGATGTCCCACTCCCTGCTGGCAGGGACATCCCAGGGGATCACCCCAGCTCCAACCAAGAATCCCCCCAGCACCCTGAGGAAGGAGTGGCCATGCTGCTGGGGACAGGGCCAGCCCTGCCCAGTGACCCTCTGGGACAAGGAAAGGACACCACGGTGACAAGGACAAGGACACAGGACAAGGACACAGGCGGGGACAGACAGTGCAGCCTGGAGGAGATGGAGCAAGAGCAGACACAGCACAGGCAGGAGGCAGAGCTGGGGAAGGTCCCTCTGCAGTGGCCCTGGGCACCTCCCCTGCCACCAGCACAGTGGTGGCACCTGTGTGGCACACCTGTGCCAGGCGGCCAGGAAGGGCCTGGATCAGGATCCTCCTACCTAGTCCCAGCCTAGGGCCAAGGGTCTGCAAAGGAACAGGGGAGGGGTCAGCTCAGGCACAAGGACACAGCTCTGTCCCCAACTTGAGGCACAAGGACACAGCTCTGTCCCCAGCTTCAGCTCAGGCACAAGGACACGACTCCAGCTCTGTCCCCAGCCTCCCTGCAGCTCTGAGCTCTTCCCAAGGACCAGGAATTGCTCCCTGGGGCGCTGCCCCTGTGTTTGTTTCCCTTTTTTGTCCCATAACTCCATCCCCCCCACACAGAGACGTTGATTCCACTGGGAAATATTCCCAGGGAAGAGCAGAATTGGAATTCTGCTCCTCTGAGCCTGGCAGAGCGAGCTGGGAGCCCTGGGGAGCTCGCAGCCCTGGGCTAGGACAGGGGACAGGCAGGACACACGGCACAGCTGGGGCGGCACAGCTGGGGCAGCACAGCTGGGGCAGCACAGCTGGGGCAGCACAGCTGGGGCAGAGCTCCAGGCAGGAGGAGCTGGGGAAGCCGGGGGGGTTAACTGGGAGCAGAAGGAGAGGGAAAAATCAACCAGGAGCAGTGCAGAGCTGTGCAGCAGCCCGGGGGGGCTGGCTGAGGAGCGGCGGGCTCCAGCACCCACCTCTGCTCCCACTCTCCTTTGCCTGGAGGGCACAGCGAGCACCGGGCAAGAGCAATTTCCACTGCAGCAGGGTTTGGGGCCAGGGATGGGACTAACCCCGGGGCAAGCTCTCCATCCTGGGGGCTCTCAGGCCAAGCTAGAGACAGGTGGGAGCAGTGAGAGGAGCCAGGAGAGGCCCTGGCCACGGAGGAGGGGCACAGGCGAGCTCCCAGCAGAGGTGCAGGAGGGTGGTGCCAGGACAGAATTCCTTCCTCCACACAGGCAACACTGTAAAACACAAGACACAGACGAAACAGGAAAGAGAGAGAGAGAGAAAGAGAGGACAGCAGAGAGAGGAAAAGACAGATGCAGCTACAGACACCTTCCCTCCTTCTTTCCTTCGCTCCTGGCCAGCTCAGCCTCATCCCATCCCTTCTTTCTCAGCTGCAGCACCCAGAAGGATTCAAACCACGAAATTTGATGATGAATGCTTATAAAGAATTGTTATTTTACCAACTGAAATTGCAAAACTTGTTTTTGAATGAGGACCTGAGCTGAAAACAAACAAACAAACAAGCGAGCTCTTAACAGCTAGCTGCAAAATAGAAATTGCTGTGTGGTGTATTTTCCAATTGTTCTTCTAATCACTTTCTTCTCTTTTAATGGCTTGGATGGTTTTGTTTGGCTTTGCCTCCCTGGCCTGGCTGCTGGAAGAGGCAGGAGAGCTCGGGGTTTGTCGGGCAGGTGCTTGTGAGGGGTTAAAATGCTGCCAAGCCCTTCCCCAGCTCTGCATTCCCACAGCTCCCAGGCAGGGATGAGCTCCCCAGCTCTGAGCTCAGAGCTTCTCCTTCTCCTTTCCAGAGCTGACAGGGCTAAAAAAAATCTGCTCACACCTCGTGGGGACGGGCTCCAGGGCTGCCTGGAGCTGTCACAGGCACTCTGCACCCCCAGTTCTGGCAGACAGAGCCCTGGTTTCGATTCATTCCCCCGTGTTTTGCTCCTGTCCCAGCAGGACGCAGCTCCTGGAAGCAGATGTGTGCTGGGCAGGAGGGAGGGGAGCTGGAGGGAGCTGAAATCCGGGAGAGGGAGGTGGAGAGAGGAATGGCAGGTGCACCAGGGCCTCATCCTGCTGCTCCTGGCCTTTTGCCACGGAACACGGTGGAAATGAGGCGTGGCTGACGCTCAGAGCAGCGTGAACTCCCTGCTCATCCCAGAAATCTGGGAATTTTCAGCCTCTCAAGGAGGCACAGGGGAAGGTTTGAAGAGAACCCAGGGAGCCAGGGCTGCAAAAAATCCCCCCCCACCATGGGATCACAGCCCTTCCCACAGGGAAAACTTGGGGAATTGACTCCCAGCCATTCCCCCACCAGGAACACGGAGAAATGGATGCTTAAAAATAACAGCTGTGATTATTCTGAGTGGGATTTTGGGAGCCTGACAAATTCCTTTCCAGCAGCTGGGTCTGGCAGCCTCGAAAACCTCCAGCAGGAGCACAAAGCCAATAAAACACATCCCCAGCGTGGGATTCTGATTGCCAAGCACTTCAGGAGGCTCAACCTGATCAAACATCAGCTTAAAAGAACAGGATAGCAGTTCCAGAGGTGGGAAAAACCCAAACTGAGCCAAAATGAACAACTTATAACCCATCCAAATCAGCGCAGGGGCTGCTTGAACCTCCTCCACTCCCCGGGGGAGAGCCTTACACCTGGGCACTGCCAGCATCCTAAGGATCCAAAGCCCCATCCTAGCCCATCCTCCTGAGCAAGGTCCACTGGGGAGCTTCTCCTAGAGACGAGACAAAGACACGGTGAGAGCTGCAGACAGGGCACAGAGGGAAGAGCTCCCGGCGGAGACAAGCAGGCAGGCATGGAAAGGAGAGCATGGAAGGGCTTTGGAGACTGGCACTACCCCGGGTGGAGCAATGGATGGGCATGGATTGAAGGCAGCGTGGTGGGGAGGGACAGAGAGCAGCAGGAGGGCACAGACACTTGGCTCAAACACGGACGGGTGTCCCCCGTGTCACACGGCAGACAGAGACAGGAGCAGGACAGCGGGACGGGCACACAGCAGGGCTGCTGGAGGGACAGAAACACGGGCCAGGGACGTCCCAGGTGCTGCACTGCGGGCTGAGCCCCTGCTGGGCACCCGCTGCAGCCTTGCAGCTTGTCACTGCAGCCTTGCAGCTTGTCACTGCAGCCCCGCAGCCGGCCACTGCAGCCCCGCAGCCTGTCACTGCAGCCCCGCAGCCGGCCACTGCAGCCTTGGGGACTGACACCTCCATGGGGCAGTTTGGGGTGCAGCATCCCCATGGGACAGTTTGGGGACTGACACCTCCATGGGGCAGTTTGGGGTCCAGCATCCCCGTGGGACACCATCCCCACAGGACAACTTGGGGACCACCATCCCTACAAGGACAACCTGGGGACCACCATCACCGTGGGACAACTTGGGGACCACCAACCCTACAAGACAGGACGGACCAACATTCCCATAGGACAGCATCCCCATGGAGCAACTTAGAGACCACTATCCCTGCAGGACAATTTGGGGCCCACAACCCCCACATTACACTATCCCTGTGGGACAACTTGGGGACCACCACCCCTACACGACAGCATCCCTACAGGAGAACTTGGAGATCACCATCCCTACATGACACCACCCCTGCAGGACAACTTGGGGACCACTACCCCCGTGGTACAGTTTGAGGACCACCACCTCTATGGGACAACTTGGGGCCCACCACTCTTACATGACACCATCCCCACAGGACAACTTGAGGCCCACCATCCCTGCAGGACAGGTGGGACCACCACCCCTGCAGGACAATTTGGAGACCACCCCCCCTGTGGTACAAATTGCGACCCACCATCCTTACGTGACACCACTCCTACGGGACAACTTGGGGACCACCATCTCTACGTGACACCATCCCCACAGGACAATTTGGGGACCACCATCCCTACAGGACAGCTTGGGGACCACCATCCCCACATGACACCATCCCTGTGAGACAACTTGGGACCCACCACCGCCACATGATACCACCCTTACGGGACAACTTAGGGACCACCACCCTTACAGGACAGCATCCCTGCTGGACAGTTTGGGGACCACCACCCTTACAGAACAATTTGGAGACCACCACCCCTATGGGACAACTTGGGGACCACCACCCCTACATGACAGCATCCCTACAGGAGAACTTGGAGATCACCATCCCTACATGACACCACCCCTGCAGGACAACTTGGGGACCACCATCTCTACATGACAGCATCCCCGTGGGACAATCTGGGGACCACCATCCCTGTGGGACAACTTGGGGACCACCACCCCTATGGGACAACTTGGTGACCACCACCCCTACATGACACCACCCCTATGGGACCACCATCCCCAGCTGCCGTGCCCCCCGGCGGGCTCACCGCAGGGCCCGCTGTGGCGGGCGGGGATGTGCTGCTGCTGCAGGCACTCGGCGCGGCGCCGCTGGCACTCGCTGCCGTAGGTGCGGCCGTCGCGGCCGCACAGGGGCCGGAAGGCGCCGTCGCAGGCGATGCGCTCGCAGGAGCAGCGCGCGGCCCCGCGCCGGTTCAGGCACACCGCGTTGAACCTGCACTCCTCCTGGCACTTGTCTGCGGGGACAGGGCACAGCGGGGCTCCAGTGGGGGTTTTCATGGAGGAGGAGGAGGAAGAGGAGGAGGAGGAGGAAGAGGAGGAAGAGGAGGAAGAGGAGGAAGAGGAGGAAGAGGAGGAAGAGGAGGAAGAGGAGGAAGAGGAGGAAGAGGAGGAAGAGGAGGAAGAGGAGGAAGAGGAGGAAGAGGAGGAAGAGGAGGAAGAGGAGGAAGAGGAGGAAGAGGAGGAAGAGGAGGAAGAGGAGGAAGAGGAGGAAGAGGAGGAAGAGGAGGAAGAGGAGGAAGAGGAGGAGGGCACTCACCCTGCGGCTGGCACTGCCCCGAGCGCACCTTCTGGATGTCCATGCCCCGGATGGCGCCGGCGCGCGCCATGGCGCACTCGCTGTCGTAGGTGACGCCGTCGTCGCCGCAGGCCGGGTCCCTGCCCGGGGGACAGCCCTCGGGCCGGGGCAGCAGCTCCGCCCGCCGCGTCCGCGGGTTCACCCGGCACACGCGGCCCGGCTCGCTCGGCACGGCCTGGCACGGGTCTGGGCAGCCGGGTGGGGTGGGGTGGGAGTCACCTGCTGCCCTCTGGCACGGCCACTCCCTGCCCGAGGTCACTCCCTGCCCGAGGTCACCCCCTGCCCGAGGTCACCCCCTGCCCAAAAGGGGCTTCCCAGGTTCTGCTCTGTCCCAGCACAGCCCCAAGAGCCCCCAAATCTTCTTTGTGTCCCAAGGAGTCACTCCCTGCCCAAATTGGGGCTTCCCAGGTTCTGTTTCTTCCCTGCATTACCCCAAAAGCCCCCAAATCTTCTTTGTGTCCCAAGGAGTCACTCCCTGTCCTTTGGTACGGTCACTCCCTGCCTGAGGTCACTCCCTGCCCAAACTGGGGCTTCCCAGGCTCTGCTCCTTCCATTTGGGGGCCCCAAAAGCCCCCCAAATCTTCCTCTGTGCCCCAAGGGGTCACCCCCTGCCCGGATCACGCCCTCCTCACCGCAGGGGCCGTCGAACTTCTTGAAGACGTTCTCCTGCTTGTCGCAGGCGTGCTTGTTGAGGTGGCACTGGCTGCGGTAGTCGCGGCCGTCGCTGCCGCACACGGGGCTCTCGGGGACGCCGCTGCACGACGAGGGACACACGCACTTGGCCACCTGGCCGTCAGGGGAGGGGACACACGTGCTGCCAAAGCTGCAGGTCACCTCCGCGCAGGGGTCCTTGGAGCCTGGGGGGCAGAGAGGGGACACGGCTGAGAGCGCGGCACGGGTGACAGCGCGGCACGGGGTGTCTTGTTCCTCTCATGGAGTAACTTCAATATATCCCAGTATCCCCCAAACCCATCCCTCTAAAAGCCCCAATCCAGCAGCACTGGATAATTTTCCAGAGCTTCAGTAGATCCTTGGAGCCTGAGGGACAAGGAAGGGACAGAGCACAGGTGAGAGCCTGGCACACGGTGCCCTGTTCCTCTCGTGGAATAACTGAAATCTATCCCAATATCCCCCAAATCCATCCCTCTAAAAGCCCCAGTCCAGCAGCACTGGATAATTTTCCAGAGCTTCAGTGGATCTTTGGAGCCTGAGGGACAGAGGGGGACACGGCTGAGAGCACGGCACGGGTGAGAGCATGGCACAGGGTGTCCCGTTCCTTTCACAGAATGACCCAAATCTATCCCAATATCCCCCAAATCCATCCCTCCCAAAGCCCCAGTCCAGCAGTAATGGATAATTTTCCATCGTTTTTCCTCCTCATAGTTTGCTGGGGTCCCTTCCCAGCCTTTGGTGTCCCTGGCCCAGCCTGTGGCCATCATTTCTCCACCATTCCCCCACGATTTCTCCACCATTTTCCCACCATTTCCCCCTCCATTTCTCCATCATTTCTCCACCATTTCTCCACCATTTCCCCCACCATTTTCCCACCATTTTCCCACCATTTCTCCACCATTTCCCCCACCATTTCTCCATTTTCCCACCATTTCTCCACCATTTTCCCCACCATTTCGCCACCATTTCCCCCATAATTTCTCCACCATTTCCCCACCATTTTCCCCATTTTTCCACTATTATTCCATCATTTTCCCACCGTTTCTCCATCATTTCCCCCACCACCCACCATTTCCCCCATAATTTCTCCACCATTTCCCCATCATTTTCCCACCATTTCCCCCTCCATTTCTCCATCATTTTCCCACCATTTCTCCACCACTTTCCCACCATTTCTCCACCATTTCCCCCCCCATTTTCCCCATAATTTCTCCACCATTTCCCCACCATTTTCCCCATTTTTCCACTATTATTCCATCATTTTCCCACCGTTTCTCCATCATTTCCCCCACCACTTCTCCATCATTTTCCCCACCATCTTCCCACCATTTCTCCACCATTTCCCCACCGTTTCTCCCCCTTCTCCCTCTCTGCTGACCCCAGGGCAGCGCTGCCGATCCCCGCCGCGCCCCCAGCGCCGTCCCCACCCCTCCAGCCACACCCGAGGTGCCCCCGCCCGCCCTGGGGCCACGCCAGGGCCCCCCACTCACCGCAGGGTCCCTTGCTGACCACCTTGATCCTCCTCTGCTGGTTGCACTGCGCCCGGTCCAGCTCGCACTCGTTGCTGTAGGTGGAGTGGTCGGAGCCGCACACCGGGGCCACCACGGGGGCACAGGGACCCTTCCTGCACACGCACGAGGCCTGGCCCGGCTCCGAGGGGCTGCGCTCGCACACGGCCCCGAAGCCACAGAGCATGCCCCGGCACCCTGCGGGCACAGGGACACGAGTGGGCACAGGGACACACACACATGGGGGGCACAAAACCCATACAGCATGCCCCGGCACCCTGCGGGCACAGGGACACGAGTGGGCACAGGGACACAGGGCCCCAAAGCCACAGAGCATGCCCCGGCACCCTGCGGGCACAGGGACACGTGTGGGCACAGGGACATCCCATGGGCACAGGGACACATGGCCCCAAAGCCACAGAGCATGCCCCGGCACCCTGCGGGCACAGGGACACGTGTGGGCACAGGATGTGGGCACAGGGACACCCCATGGGTACAGGGACACGTGTGGGCAGAGGGTGTGGGCACAGGGACATCCCATGGGCATGAGGACATGGGCCCCAAAGCCACAGAGCATGCCCCGGCACCCTGCGGGCACAGGGACATCCCAATGGGCACAGGGACACCCCAATGGGCACAGGGACACATGGCCCCAAAGCCACAGAGCATGCCCCGGCACCCTGCGGGCACAGGGACATCCCAATGGGCACAGGGACATCCCATGGGCATGGGGACACGTGGCCCCAAAGCCACAGAGCATCCCTTGTCACTCTGTGGGCACAGGGACACGTGTGGGCACAGGGACACACACACATAGGGGTCACCAAACCCACACAGCATCCCTCTGGCACCCTGCAGGCACAGGGGCATCCCATGGGCACAGGGACACACACAGGGGACATGGACATCCCAATGGGCACAGGGACACACACCCAGGGGACCCCAAACCCTTTCCCTAAAATCCAATTTCCCCCTTCCCCGGGACAGCTCCACCCATTCCTTGAGGTGCTCCCTGCCCCAGTGCCCCCCAGTGCCTCCCAGTGCCTCCCAGTGCCCCCTCCCAGTGCCCCCCCCCCAGGGCACCCCACATGTCAGAACCAGAGCCTGACCCAGGGAATGAGGGAAAAGAGGAATCCCAAAATCCAACCCCTCATTTACACTTCAATTCCCACGCGTTTGCCTTTGACTGCCTGGAGACTCTGGAGCTGCAAACCCAGCACCAGATAAATCCCGGGAAATCAAAAGGAAAGGGATTCTCCTGCTCTCCCACCCCAGCACCAGATAAATCCCATAAATCCCATAAATCAAAAGGAAAAGGATTCTCCTGCTCTCCCACCCCAGCACCAGATAAATCCCATAAATCCCAGGAAATCAAAAGGAAAAGGATTCTCCTCCTCTCCTGCCGGTATCTAAAGGGATTCATCATTTTTCTGAAGAGTCTGAGTCTCTCCTGCACTTCCCAGCGCTGCTCTTTCCCTTTCTTTGGGTTTTTTTTAAAATGCAGAGGAGGTTTAAAAATTCCAGGGGATGGGAATTGTGGGATTCATCCCCAGGGAAGGGGATGGGGAGTGGGGACGGAGTGGGGAGCAGAGCCTGGGGAGATGGGGCTGGCTTGGAGGGGAAGGGAAAAGGGGGGAAAAAGGGAAAAAATGGGGGAGAAGGGGCAGGAAAAAAAGGGGGGGAAAGGAGGGGAAAAAAGGTAGGAAAAAATAGGAAAAGGAAAGGGGAAAGGTAGGGGAAAGGCAGAGGAAAAGGCAAGGGAAAAAAGGTAGGAAAAAATAGGAAAAGGAAAGGGGAAAGGTGGGGGAAAAGGCAAGGGAAAAAAGGTGGGGGAAAGGTGGGAAAAAAGGATAAAAAGGCAGGAAAAATATGGAGAAAAAGGGGGGGAAATGAAGATTAAAAAGGGGGGAAAAGAGGATTAAAAAAGGGAGGAAAAGGGGATAAAAAAGGGAGGAAAAGAGGATAAAAAAGGGGGGAAAAGAGGATAAAAAAAGGGGGAAAAAGAGGATAAAAAAAGGGGAAAAAAAGGCAATAAGCAGCGCCAGGCCCTCCCCATCCTCCCAGGAAAGAATTCCTCCCCAAGCTCCCATCTGAGCCTCCTTTCCCAGCTTGGAACCCCCAGCCAGGCCACTTCCCGAGCTCCTTATTAGCCCAGCTTCGTTAGCGGGGCCCCAGCTCCCCGTGCCCAGCGGTGCCCGCGGTGTCCAGGGCTGCAGGGCCAGCCCGGGAGTGGCCACCAGGCACCCGGGAGTGGCCACCAGCCAGGAATGGTCACCAGGCACCCAGGAGTGGCCACCAGGCACCCGGGAGTGGCCACCAGCCAGGAATGGTCACCAGGCACCCAGGAGTGGCCACCAGGCACTTGGGAATGGTAAGATTGGGCATTAATTAATTCGGGCTGGGCATTAATTTGGGGTGGGCATTACTAATTTGGGCTGGGGCATTAATAGTTTGGGCTGGGGCACTAATTAATTCGGGCTGGGCATTAATTAATTCCGCCTGAGCGAGGTGCCCGTTGCCATGGAGAGCGGCTGGGCCGGCGGCTCCTGTCCCCCAGCCCGGCCCTGCTCATCAATATTCAAATATTCAGCCCCGCCCTATCAATATTTAAATATTCAGCCCCGCCCCATTAATATTCAAATAGTCATCCCCGCCCTATTAATATTAAAATATTCAGCCCCGCCCCATCAATAGTTAATTATTCAGTCCTGCTCATCAATATCCAAATATTCAGCCCCGCCCCATCAATATTCAAATATTCAGCCCCACCCCATCAATATTTAATTATTCAGTCCTGCTCATCAATATTTAAATATTAGTGGCATCACGCGGGTGGGGAGCGAGGAGGAGCCGCCCAACCCCGCCCCAAGCGCTGACCCTGCCCTGCTGCCACTTCTGGGGCTGGGGGCTCCCTGCACCCCAAACCCGAGCTCTGGCTTTGCTAGGCTGGACAGTGACCCTGCCTGGCTTTGCTAGGCTGGACAGTGACCCTGCCTGGCTTTGCTAGGCTGGAAAATGACCCTGCGTGGCTTTGCTAGGCTGGACAGTGACCCTGCCCAGCTTTGTTAGGCTGGACAGCAATTCTGCCCAATTTTTTTAGGCTGGACATTAACCCTGCCCAGCTTTTGGGGGGAAGGGACCTCCCCAACCCTCCAGGTTTACCCAACCCTTTATCCCCCCATCTCCTGAGCCATCCTCACCCAAACCCCAGCGTTTCCCAGCCCAAACCTGTCCCAAACCACACCAAACCCAGCCCGGGCAGGAGCAGAACACAAACCCACCCCCTCCCCGAGTCCCCTGGCCCCCAAAAACACCTCCTGCACCCCACAGCAGGGGCTCTCTGCCCAAAACGGGCACTTTTCCACCTCCAGCAGGGATTTTTTGGAAGTCTGGCATCTGCCTGGGCCGGGCTGTTGGTGTTTTGGAGCCCTGAGCAAGGAGTTCCACCCACGTGGGGGTTTATTTTTCGCTCGAGATGCCTTTCCCCGGGCCAATTATAGATTAATCACATTTTATCTCACGTCCTTTGCTCCCCCACCCCCAGCAGGGGAGGTAAAAATTGGGGGGAAAAAAAAAAAAAGGCAACGAGGAGATTAATATTAATTGGCTGCTGGTTTTTGTTGGCTCTTATCTGTGCACCTGAAGGTGGGGGAGAGCCTGCCAGCAAAGGCAGGGGTTTTAAGCCTGGGTTTAAAGGGGAACAAAGCTCCTGTGATGGTTTTATCTCAGCCTGGGCTTGCCTGCCCTCACCCAGCAGCTCCTGAGGCTGATAAGAACCTCACAAAAACAAAACAAACCAAAACCCAAAAAACCCCCAAAGTTCTCTGTGAAACCAGAGGAAAGGTGGGAGAGGCAAGAATGAAAATGCAAGTCTGCAGGAAATTCACCTTTTCCAGCCCTTCCCTGCTGCCAGGGAGGAAAATCCCTGGGAAAAGGGAACAGGGAGGGGTTCCTGCCCTCCCTCCTCACCCAAATCCTGCATCCCAGGAAAATCCATGGAAAAGGGAACACTGAGGGGTTCCTGCCCTCCCTCCTCACCCAAACCCTGCACCCCCAGCACTGCCAGGGCTCAGGGATCAGCCGGGCTGGGAGGGACCCCAAATCCCCGTGGATCAGTGGGGTCAGGAGCCATTCCCCTGGGGGACAGGACAGCCCAGGACAGGCTCCTGCTGTCCCCAAGGGTGTGGGGACAGCCCAGCCCAGCCCAGGACAGGCTCCTGCTGTCCCCAGGGCTGTGGGACAGCCCGGGACAGGCTCTTACTGTCCTCAAGGGTGTGGGGACAGCCCAGCCCAGCCCAGAGAGGTTCCTGCTGTCCCCAAGCCCTGGGGACAGCCCAGCCCAGAGAAGCCCCTCCTGTCCCCAAGCCCTGGGGACAGCCCAGCCCAGCCCAGAGAGGTTCCTGCTGTCCCCAAGCCCTGGGGACACTCTGCACTCACCATCCCGCGGCGGCGGCGGCGTCTGTGTGAAGTAACTGTTGGGTTTGTCTGCAAGGAAACAAAAACCACGGAGCTGTCACCAGTTCCTGAAGCACAACCCTGCCCCCAGCCCTTTTTGGGGTGCTGTTTTTTTTCCCTTCTCGAGCAGGTTTGGCTCCCAGGAGCTCCCGGAGGCAGGAAGGAGTGGCAGGAAGGGGAGGCAGCATCACAAAAACCCAGTTTGGGATGCCCCCAGGTACTGATGGAGCTGTCACGGGTTCCTCAAGCACAACCTTGCCCCCAACCCTTTTTGGGGTGCTGTTTATCCCTCCACGAGATGCTGTTTATCTCCATGAGCAGGTTTGGCTCCCAGGAGCTCCCGGAGGCAGGAGGGAGCGGCAGGAAGGGGAGGCAGCATCACCAAAACCCAGTTTGGGATGCCCCCAGGTACCAATGGAGCTGTCACGGGTTCCTCAAGCACAACCCTGTCCCCAGCCCTTTTTGGGATGGTGTTTATCCCTCCTTGAGCAGGTTTGGCTCCCAGGAGGTCCCAAGAGGAGCCAGGATCACCAAAATCCAGTTTGGGACAGTCCCAGGTACCGACGAAGCTGTCACGGGTTCCTCGGGCTCAACCCTGCCCCCAGCCCTTTTTGGGGTGCTGTTTCATCCCTCCCCGAGCAGGTTTGGCTCCCAGGAGGTCCCAGGATGACCCAAGCCCAGTTTGGGACAGCCCCAGGAACCCCTGGAGCGTCTCTGGGATCTGGGGGCAGCCCCCGGTGCCTGGCGGGGCTGGGGTCTGCCCCAGCCTGTCCTGCCCCATCTCCGGGGGGCTGTGAGGCCAGTCCTGCTGTGAGACCACCCCACACACACCTGCCCAGAGCAGGAATGCTGCAGCCCCCAAAAAGTGAGAGGAAGGGGCAGCAGAACGGGGGGCGGCCGTGGGTGTCACCAAAGAAGGGTCACCGGCCACCCCGCTGTGTTTGGGGACCCCTAGCAGCAGGGGAGCTGAGCTGAGCTCCCTCAGGCTCCAAAACCCCTCCCACGCTGCAGGGAAACACCCAAACCCCGGGATTTGGGATTTGGGATGGAGCTGGGCTGTGGCAGAGATAACCCCACCCCAGGATGTCTCTCCAAGGGTTTTGCAGGGTTTATCCCCAGCTCAGCTCCCCCAGGAGGGGCTGCACGCCCCAAAGCCGGGCTGCAGGGTCTGCCTGCCCTCCCTGGGCTGGCCTGGAGATGGGATGTTCCCCGGGAAGGGGAGCAGGAGCCGGGCAGAAATCCTGGATCCACAGCCAAGGGATCCACTGGGCTGCACCAGGGATCAGATTCACCAGGGCCAGAGCTCAGGGCAGTCCTCACATCCCCCAGATCATCTCCAGCCATTCCCAAATCCTCACATCCCCCAGATCATCTCCTGCCCTTCCCAAATCCTCACATCCCCCAGATCATCTCCAGCCCTTCCCAGAACGCCATCCCCGGATCCCCACCCGGATTTGGGATGCAGCCTGCCAGCAGCAGCAGCAGCAGCAGCAGCAGCAGGTGGGAGCTGTCCTGGCCCACGCAGAGCCGCCCTCACAGCTCTGCTCCCGCTTCCCTGCCAGGGAAAAGTGGGGCAGGAGCTGCCAGCCCCGGGATTGTCCCCAGGGTGTGAGCAGGGAGCTGCCAATGCAGGGATTGTCCCCAGGGCGTGGGGCAGGGAGCTGCCAATGCAGGGATTGTCCCCAGGGCGTGGGGCAGGGAGCTGCCAATGCAGGGATTGTCCCCGAGGCAGGAGCAGCTCCAGGATTGTCCCCAAGGCAGCAGAGAGCTGCCAATCCCAGGATTGTCCCCAAGGCAGGAGCAGCTCCGGGAGGAGCTGAGCATGAGGCAGGGAGCTGCCAATCCCGGGTATGTCCCCAAGGCGTGGGGCAGGCAGCTGCCAATCCCGGGATTGTCCCCAAGGCAGGAGCAGCTCCAGGACTGTCCCCAAGGCATGGGGCAGGGAGCTGCCCATCCTGGGATTGTCCCCAGGGCAGCAAGGAGCTGCCAATCCCAGGACTGTCCCCAAGGCAGGAGCAGCTCCAGGACTGTCCCCAAGGCATGGGGCAGGGAGCTGCCAATCCCAGGACTGTCCCCAAGGCAGGAGCAGCTCCGGGAGGAGCCGGGCGTGGAGCAGGGAGCTACCAATCCTGGGATTGTCCCCAAGGCAGCAAGGAGCTGCCAATCCCAGGATTGTCCCCAAGACAGCAGAGAGCTGCCAATCCCAGGACTGTCCCCAAGGCAGGAGCAGCTTCAGGACTGTCCCCAAGGCGTGGGGCAGGGAGCTGCCAATCCCAGGACTGTCCCCAAGGCAGGAGCAGCTCCGGCAGGAGCCGAGCTGTCCCCAGCAGAGCTGTCCCCAGCAGCCCCGCGGCCAGCCTGCCCCCTCAGGGACACCTACAGTTATTGAGGAAGAGCAGCACGGCGAATCCCAGCGTGGAGGTGGCCAGCAGGATGAGGCAGATGTTGCAGGGGATCATGAAGTAGCGCACCACCAGGGACACCTTGTGCTGGTACAGCCGGTCCCGCTCCAGGGCTCCCGGCGCCATGGGGTGCTGGCACGCTGTCATGCTGGGCTGTCACCCCCTGGCTCACGGGGATGCCTCTCCTCTGTGCCCGGGTGGTTTTTTGGCAGCCTAGGTTTTCCCAGAGGTTCCCATCTCGGCTGGCAGCGGGATGGGGGCACCTTCAGGATTCCGTGCCCGGCGATGCCATGGCAGAGGCGTGGCCTTGGGGACAGCTTGGGGACAGCTCCAGCCCGCTCCCGAGGCACAGGGACACTCAGCCAGCGCCTGAGGTGTCAGTCCACGGGTGCCCCCAGAAAGCAAACCGAAATCCCCAGAAAGCAAACCAAAATCCCCAGAAAGCAAACCAGAATCTCAGCGCCGAGGGCTCCGAATCCGTGGCTGAGCCCACCAGGACAAGGACACAGGAGCACTGCCAGGCTTGGGAATAACGCTGTCCTCTGGGATATCCTGTGAGATCCTCTGGGATCACCTCTCAGATCCTCTGGAATATCCTCTCAGATCCTGTGGGATCACCTCTCAGATCCTCTGGGATGCCCTCTCAGATCCTGTGGGATCACCTCTCAGATCCTCTGGGATCACCTCTCAGATCCTGTGGGATCACCTCTCAGATCCTCTGGGATGTCCTCTCAGATCCTGTGGGATCACCTCTCAGATCCTCTGGGATGTCCTCTCAGATCCTCTGGGATGTCCTCTCAGATCCAGGCCAGCCTGGCTCCAGGCACACGGAGCTCCCTCCGCTGTCCAGCAGCTCCTCCAGGACACAGCAGCCTCTGACCCTCCTCGCAGCCAGGAACGCCAAGATTCCGGGAGAAACCCAAAATTCCGGGAGCAGGCAAATTTCCAGGAGCAGCCAAGATTCCGGGAGCAGCCAAAATTCCGTGAGCAGCCCAAGGATTCCCGGAGAAGCCCAAAATTCCAGGATCAGCGCAAGGATTCCGGGTGCAGCCAAGATTCCGGGAGCAGCCCAAGGGTTGCGGGAGAAACCCAAAATTCCGGGAGCAGCCAAAATTCTAGAAGCAGCCCAAAGATTCCGGGAGCAGCCCAGAATTCCAGGATCAGCCCAAAATTCCGGGAGCAGCCTAAGGATTCAGGGAGCAGCCCAAGGATTCCGGGAGCAGCCAAGATTTGGGATCAACCCAAGGATTCCGGGAGCAGCCCAAGGATTCCGGGAGCAGCCCAGAATTCCAGATTCAGCCCAAAATTCCGGGAGCAGCCCAAGGATTCCGGGATCAGCCCAGAACCCCGGGATCAGCCCGAGGGTTCAGGGACGCGGCTCAGCCCGAGGCAGGCGCTCCCTCTCGCCCCCCGAGGCTCTCTCGGCTCCATCCCCGCTCGCTGCCGGGGCGAGCCCGGCTCTGCAGCGCCCGGCTCCGGCTCGGCCCCGGCGGGGGCAGCTGCCCGCCTCACCCCGCCCGGACATGCCGGTCCCGGCCGGGCCGAGCGCGGCTCCGCGCGGAGCCGGGCATGGAGCGCCGGGAGGGATGGGAGGGATGGAGGATGGATGGTGGGAGGGAGGTGGATCCCTAATCCCGGTGCTCTCCGTGCGGGGAAGGGGCCGCGCAGCATCAGACAAGGGAGCGGCAGCGCGGAGCGAGCCCGGAGCTGCCCCCTCCCTCCTTCCCTCCCTCCCTCCTTCCTTCCCTCCCTCCTTCCCTCCCTCCGCCCGCCCCTCGGCCCGACCCCGGCGAGGGGGGGCTCTCCGAAGCCCCTCGGAGCGCTCGGTGCCCAACAAAGGGGAGCGGGGGCGCAGGGGCGCGGCGCAGACAAAGAGCGGGGGTCGCGCCGGAGCCGCTCCCAGCCCGGGCGAGGCGTGGGCAGCGCAGGGAGAGCGGGGGGAGATACCCCGAGACCCCCCAGGACCCCCCTGGATGAGCAGGGAGGGGTTCAGCCCGATGGAGGTGCGGGGGGTGGAGGAAGGCTCCCCCCAGAGACCCCCGGGGGCGGCAGAGCCACGGGAACAGCAGGGAAAAAACCACGGCTGGTGTTTTTTAGGATGTTACCGGCACAGCCTTGCTGGAAAGCAGCCGGGAGAAAGGAGCAGGGATGGAAGCGCTCCATCCCTGGCTTTTCCTGCTCCCCTCGTGCCCGCGGGGTGGGGAAGGAGCCACCAGCAGGGCTGGGTGATGCTCCAGCGATGGGCCGGGAGCTGCCACAGCCCCGGGCAGGGATTGCTGCTGCCCCAACCCACACCCGGGAGCTGCAGGTGGAGGGTTGGCATTCCTGGCAGAACAGAAACAATTCCCTGCCACTGGAATGGCACGTTCAGGGCACCGGGATCACTCCTCAGCCAGCACAGCCGAGCTGTGCAGGCTGCAGGAAAACCCCTCAAGGGGAAGTCACAGAGAGCCTGGGCGCACCCCACGGCTGTGGGGCTGGCTCATCCCCCAGAACGGGGCAGGAGGGTGCTGCAGAGGGGCTGGCAGCACCAGGAGGGATCTCCAAGCCCTCCCAGGACAGATGGACGCCGTGGGGGTGCGGGGAGGGCAGAGGGGAGCTGCGGGCAGAGCAGCTGCTCCGAGCCCC